TAAAGCTAGACTGAGTTGGGCTTTGTTCTGGTGTTTGTTTTGTTTGTTTGTTTCTTTTTGGTGTGGTTTTTTTAAACTTATTTTTCTGCTGGTAAAGTTGGCAGGACTGCTTTGTCATTCAAGCTTATGATTGTTCTAGGAAGAAGATTACGAGTGGGGAAGTAATTCCATACTTAATGTTTTGCCTGGAATCAATGTAAACCAGAAGAAACTAGCACTTGCAGCCATGAGGTGGAGGAAAAAAATTCATAAAGGAAGGCAAGAAACTGGAATTGTTGAGGTATGGTACTGTTGAGGTATTTAGATACTCATGCAATGTAAGTTGTACAGTGGGTGGGACAGCACAGGGATTGTCACCAAGAAACTTGGAAACTTAACTGGCAGGGAAAGGTTATCTGCCTTAAGAACAAAACGACTTAGCTGGATATATTCTAGTTAAGTAATTTTGTTTTTAAAAAACTTCTAGTGCTGGTATATTAAAAGTCTTAATCTCCTCCTGAACCATCATTCATGTTTTGCAAAGCTGGAGTGTGGCTACTTATGTATGTAAATGTCCCTCAGCCAGGAAGATAATGTTAATGCTTCAGAGCTCTGACTGGGGAGCTAACCTAACTCAGCTTTACTGGGAAACCGCAACTGGTACTCGCAGTAACAGAAATCCTGTGCTGCGCCGTATGGGTGAATACAGCTCTCTGGACAGCATTTTTATAGCTCTAGCAATGAGCATACTGCTGCGCTTCCAACAGGGCACAAGTTTATGCCTTTCCTAAAGCACCTTCCGTGATTTTTATGGTGCAAGTTCCATAGTCTTTCAGTGAGATTTTTGAAAATGGGACTGGGGCTCCCCAAAGCCTTTTAACTCTCAAATCGGGCATTGCAGTCAAGTATTCTTTGAAAGGTAGAAATGCTGCTGATGTTTCAGTCACATCAGTATAAATCTTGACTTGTGTGTATTTTACGATAACCTTTTTAAAATGAGTGCTTGTAACAAATCCTCTGTACCCCTTGCCTACGTGGAAACCACAGTGAGTGCATGTGTGAGGATACCAGTTGGCCTTAGGTGTTGTTACTGTAACTGAGTAGATAATGTAGGGTATGGGGTGGGGCGGAAATGTTGTTTCCAAGGAACTGTTTTTCTTAAGATGTGTTTCTGTAAACGAGTGTCTGGTGTTCTGGAAAAAATACTCATTGCCAAGGGTCTTGTCATAGATCGGTTTGCCCATCTTGCTGCACAGGTGAAAGGGCTTGGTGGCAAGCTGCCCGACTGTACGGTGGTGGCTCAATAGTTGTATGTTCTGTGGGGTTTTTTTCTGCCATTTACACTTAAAGACAAAACTAGACAGTAGCAAATCTTCATCTGATGGATATTCCTGAAAGGGGCAAATTATAGATCTATTAAGTCTTTACACTTTTTTAGTACCAACATACTTTTGACTAAATTGAGTCTTTTATCTAGGGAGCTTTCAGTGGCTGGAAAGTGATCCTGAATGTTGATCAAACCAAGGAAGCGGGATTCAGGCGCCTTCTTCAGTCAGGAGGAGCAAAAGTATGTAGGGTTTTTTTTTGGGGGGGTGGGGTGCAGAGATTAAATTAAATATACATATGTTTCTCTCTCTCTCTCTCTCTCTCTCTTTTTTTCCTTTCCTTTCTGTTAAACTCTGTGCTGGGCATTTTTCATGTGAGTAAAAGGTCTTAACCAACAAAATTGCTTATACAGGATAGCTGAGACATGGTCAAAGGGTGGGAGGAAAAAGCTATGTCATCTTCATTTTGCAAGTGGTCAGGCAGAGCAGCTTGTCTGCAGTCACACAAGTCAGTAGTGCTGGTGGGAATTGAGGGTAGAATTTCTGTGCTTGCTCTGATGAGAAGGATCACCCTTCTTGAAAGGTACATGATGGCACAGAACACAGCTGTACCTGGTGTCTTATTTCCCGTTGGTTTGCTAGTTAATTTGATGAGCAAAATTACAGGTCATGAACTGCATTTGTCTTGGGGAAGAAACAAAAAATAAACTCGTTTTTGCCTGTCATGCTTTAATCCGTAGGTGTTTTCTGGTCATTCTGTGTCTCTCTTCAAAGAAGCGACCCATCTCTTTGCTGACTTCAGTAAGCTGAAGCCAGAGGACACCAGGGTTGACGTGGCAGAGGCAGCAGCCCAAGGAGTGAACTGCCTGAAACCGGAGTACATTGCCGACTACCTCATCCAGGTGCATGCGTGCCCGTGGGCGCTCACCTCCCAGGGGTGCTCTTTACCTACCTCAGGAGCAGTGGGGCAAGTCCCTTGCCTCCAGCAACCCCTGCCACCTGAAGCCTCTGAAGGGACTGCTGCTCTACTGGTTGTGTGCCTCCTTTTCCAGAAGCTGTGGCCACCAGCACCTACACGGGAGTATTTCGATCTGTGGCCTCAAATGTTAACTGCTATAACATGACTTGTTCTAGTGCTGGCACTGGGATCTGTTGCAGGGTAGGGAGCTTGCAAAACGTATTCAAAATGTAGGTGTGCAATGTTTGTTTTATTTTCAGTTTTAGAAAACTAATGAGCTGTTCCTTTCTTTTCAGAAGCTTCTTGAGCTAAACCACTTTTTTTTTTTTCCTCTATTGAAGGATCCGCCTCCCCCAATGGAGTCTTACTGCCTGCCACAAGCTGAATCTTGCCTTCAGAATAACACAGAACGTGGAACTGGATTATCCCAGAAAAGAAAAGCACTGGGAGAAATGAGTGGAGTCAAGCGATCCAGAATACACTGAGCAAATTCTGTGCTTTTAACTTGTACATTTTTAAATTCATATTTATGTTTTTTCACTCTCACCACAAAAATTAAAAGCTTTGATTTTAACTTCTAATTTGTCCTGAGATTAAAATAATGTTACAGTAATACTCATGGGAAAGATTGCTTTGGTTACCAGTAGCATCTAAAAATATGGCAAGAACTCATACAAAAAATACTTTGTCTCCAAAATGTCCTAACTATCCCACTAATGATTTTAAGGGACATCATTGTATAATAAATAATAGTTAAATACCCTGTGAGATGCTTATGACATCTTTTATCTGTGTGTTGTGGGGAAAATACCAGTTGGTAAGAATTCTGTTGTATTTCTCGCACAGTAATGGACTTAGGTGTTAAATGAATTTTTCCTCTTTTGATGTTTTCTATTGGAGGGGGAAAAGGGAAACCAGACTAAAAGAACTGGCTTGTGAATTTTTGTACTGATAGAGGGTGTAATAAATTATTTCTGTAAAACAGGCTGCTGAGGTACTGCCATTCACTGTGCTAAAGAATCTGTTCAGCAAAGATAGAATCAACCGCATTTGACAAGAGGTGAAGTTTGTCTGACCATCCTCCCTGTTGGGAGTCTGCAACAGGAACCAGAGGCAGAACAAAGACCTTAGTTTTCACCAGCTGGAACTGTTCTTAGTCAGACTACCACAGTGTTTGACAAACTGTTTGACCTTTCAGTAACTCTGGGGTCTGGGTCTCTGTTTACTAAACTTACTGTATGTGAGTTGCACCATGCTAGTCTAGGTGAAAGTGTTTGTGCTTATGAAATCTGAGGAGCTGTATTGAAACAGCTAGAATTGCTGCAGCCTGTTTGAACAGAGAAGTGCATCCAGTTGCACAGGACCAGCGGAGTTGTCTGTGGTAATATGTGCAACATCTTTAAAGTCTATTTAATTTATCTCTTTATTATTTGGCAGGGGGCATATTCTACTTCTGTTTTCTAGTTGCTGAATTCTTCTATAGAATTCAGTTCTACAGAAAGTCTTTGCATCAGTTTCAGTTGCAGATATAAGACAGGAGGAGACACAAGCATCTAAGCCCTGTGCAATCTGGAGAACCTTGCTCTAGGTGGGGAGAACTAACCCCTTGCTGCTGGGGGCAGGGACAAGGGACCTAAGCCTTGGGAGTCTCCAGGTGAGAGAGAGGAGGAAGGCAGCTTGCCTTTACATGCAAGGCTGTGCTTTGCGCTTCTGTTTCCTGTGTTAGTGCGGGGTAAGTTTTGTCAGTGAGCTCTGCGACACGCTGCTGGGATGACCTAAAGAAGTTGTCAGGAAGGACTGAGTGATGCTCACGAATGTGAGGGATTTGATTCTTTTTTAAAAGTGAGATCTGTGCCCCTATTGGGGGGGAGGGGCGGCATGGGGCTTAGGCTGTGGCAAGATTGTGACGTTGAGTTGCAGTGACTACAGTCTTAACCACCTGCTTTGCTTTTCTTGATTGTTAGCAGCTTGATGCTTTTTGCTATTCGTGGATGTTGGACATCTCTGACATGCTCCAAGTCCATGTAAATAACGCTGCCATTAACACCTTAAATCGCATTTTGAATTAACTTTGTGTTTCCCTGGCAATTCTCTGCTCTACCTCCAAAATGCTGCTTTGCATTGCAGGCATTTTAAATAGGTGTGGATGTCAGTAGGTGAGACTTAAGGGTCCTGTGACTTTATTGTATTTTTTTTCTTCTTCCCAGTCTGCAGAAGAAGCTGTTGTGGAAGGGTAGTATGGTTATTCTTGCTTTGCAGATAAGAAACCACTCCCTTGACCCACTTAGCTAAGCTTTAAGAAGCCTTGGAGCTGTGCAGTTCCTGCAGCTGCTGTGAATCCTGGGGGCAGGGTAAAAGGGGAGCAGCTAACATCGGACACACACCAGCCCCCCATGGAACCAGCACGCCGCTGTCCCTCACACCAACTGCCGCTGCAATGGCTTGCAGTTGCTGAAGAGACGGGGGGAACAAAATGACAGCAAGACAAACTCGGAGGTATAAATTCACTTGGTGCTGTCAAGATAAATTTATTTTCTTCAGCTTTCTTCACAGGAAACATCACAAAAGTGCTTTACAGAGTTTGATACTGTTACTCTAACATGGGACAAAAGGACAACAGGTGTGTGCACTGCACAGTTAGAAGTTGTCATATGCAGAAGCCATGATAGGTAAACCAGGGTAAAAAAAATCTACTGACAAAAAAATATATATAGTTCAGGTTATGACTATAAACATACAATTATATAAATATACAGGCACCATTAGGTTCCTGTGTTGACTGTGGGGGCCACACAGGGATTCTCAGGAGTAGATCATATTGTACTCTACTTTGCTGAAACAGTGTCTGCTGTGCTCAGTGGGCTCCCAGCCAACCATTTTCCCTGGCAGACACTGTCCTTTCTTTCGCACTACAATAAGCACTCAAAATGGCTTTATCTTCATTTCTTCAGGTTAAGTGTGGTGGCAAGACATTCTGGTATGTTGCTAAAAGCAAATTCAGTTCCCTGTTTTTTCACTTACAGAGATGTCCTCTTACTATTATTCACTCAGTCATCTCTTCCTTAAAAAAAATAAAAATGCCTTAGGCTAGACCCTGCTGTCCAGATAAGAGAGTTTTGTTTGAGCTAGCATGTTACCAGTCATGCAACCCTACTCACTTTCATGGCTGAACCGCGTTGTACTGTGACCAATGCTACTGCCTTCATTTGGCTGTATTCTGTGGGAATTAGGCTCCCATGTAGCTTTTGAGGGTCTTGGTTTAAATTCTCCAAGGAGATCCCATTTATTTGCTAAGCAATTTTGCAACAGATGGAGCCATGTTTGTGATGCTAGAGCGCTGACTGAAGAAATACAGCATCACCAAGACTCAGCAGTTCTTGCTTATAGAGCTGCTTTCTAAAGATGTGGTGAATAATTCAGGCACCTGACTAGAAATCCTTGGCATGATGATAATGTAGATGAACAAAAGAAGAAGGGAATACTCTAGAGGGTGAAGAAAGGTCAAACCAAGAGATTTTTGCTGGACTTTGAGTTGCAGAAAAAGCAATTAGCAGAGCCAATTATCTAGAAAACACTGTCATGCCAGTTTACAAAACCAGTTTGCCTTTTACCCAATTCCCAGATTAAAGACACAGTGCACAGTCAGAGAACTATTCACTCCTGAAGGTTGCTGGGTGGTTAGTAAGTAACACAGTATGGATTTACAGCATCAAGACAGGGCTTTGGTGAGTGTAGCAGCAGAGATGAGTCAGATGTGCAGGAGAGGGTATGAACAACTGTCCAATCTTGCTGCATCTGCTGTATTCCCCCCCGCCCCCTCAGAAGTAACAAAAAACCCTCAGCTCCAATTTGCCAACTTCATAAACCCCCAGCAGCCACAGTTCATTTTGGCAGAATACTAGTAACTGCTGTAATAGAACACCTAACAGATACCATTTATTTGGATGCAAAATCCAAGGTACATTCTTCTCAACCACATATCACTATTAGTCCCGGAAAGCAGCTGTTCTCTGTGACACAATATTCTGATAGACAACGCAGCTCTTATGTGGTAGGCTATACGCCCCAACAGGCTTCAGTCTTCCCTTACACCACCTCCTTTGTATTTATAAACGTAGCATTACTGGTAAAAGCAGTCAGCACTTAAAGACTTAACCTTAAAGTACAAGATGAGATGTGAAGAGATGAAACAAACCACAAAGACTAAGCCTCCCCCCCAGTGTTGCTGCGCTCATCTTCATCTCAAAACCTGCACTCCTATTTCCATGTCCAGCTACGTACCACAACAGGTACGTTAGACTAAGCGTGGCTGGTTGCTGGTCAGAGACCAAGTAATACATCTGCTTCATCTCTGCCACAAAGAGCAGAGTAACCCAGAAACTGAAAACAAGTTTGCTCTGGGCTTGTTCACTTGCGCTCAATTCTGGCTGTTGAATCTAGACTTCAAGTGAGAAGATCTCAAATCAAGTTTTAATGAAACTGATCTCAAGTGACAGAAATAACTCCACAGAAACCAATGAAGTTAAGCTCTGGGAGATCAGATTCACATATGCTTTACCTGTTTCTCAATGCATTTGTTCTCTTGTATCAGCCTGTTTTTATGGTTTGAATCATTTTGTTATGGTTGTACATACTCTGAAAGAGATACAGTATAAGTGATTTATTTTAATTAAAAAAAGGAAGCTTATGACAACATTTTAACTAACAGTTTTCTGTAGGCAAATTATTTGAAATAAAACAGACAGTTACAACTCGATGACTTCAATGCTGTAACTGAGCTAGAAAGAAAATCCAATACAAAAGATAGGAGACAAAAAAACCAGAACAGAAAAGGTCAGATTGAGTAATAGTTAGTAAGAGCATGCCATGCCAATCACTGTAAGAAGAGTGAATTACATACATGAAACTGAAGGCTTCGGCATATCGGATGGCAAAAGCCAATGCCCACAGAGAATCACCAGGTTTGTCAGCACTGGGGAAGATGGCGATTGCCAGGGTAAGCCAACTCACTCTGTAAACATGGCAATTCAGTGGCAAGTGAATGTCAACAGAAAATAAACCCAAGGCAATGAACACTGGAAAGGCTTTAAAACCACTCATACATGCTCTGGTGGATTCTGAATTAGTTGTGATCTTTCAAGGGGACGATCTAGGCATCACCATGGACAGCTTGATGAAGACATCTGCTCAATGTGTAGTTGCAGTCAAGAAAGCGAATAAGATGTTAGGCTGTATTAAAGACAGAACAATATGGAAAAATATTACAGCATGTATTTCTCTTAGAGGTCCTCAACGAGCATTTGCTGTTTCAGCAGCACCTTAAAAAAAGTGACATATTAGAAAAATACAGGGAGGAAAGTGATAAGAGAACAGTAGAAGCAGCTCTTTGTAGCTGGAAAGACAGTAAGACCAAGGTAGTTTATTTGTTAGGAGGGGAAAATTGTTGATATACATCTTAAAAGTAATTCTCCTCCCCACCATATAGGGGCCACACCTCAAAGTCATTTTAAGCCACCTACCAATCTGTTGACCTCAATATCACTCGTCATCATCATCACCCTAAGTATTCCAAAAAGCCCCGTGTTACTCTTTAATGCTTATTATTCAGCTAGTTCAGCATTTCCTCTGAAGCAACCGCAATAGTTCGTTGAAATTTAACAGTAATCTTTCCTGACAGAGAATTGTCACAGCTAATGCACATTAACAACTCTCTTAGAGGTGCTGCAATGATAAAAACGTCAGTAAGAGAAGAGAGCTGCTGCGCCTCATCTCTGTCCAGTACCCGCCAGAGGTCTGACTTGTCTGCCGGCATGCCACCATCATGTTCTCTGCTTCTATTTGCAGGCCCCCTGTAAAAGCTGAGTGATGAACCTTGAAATCACCAGCAACAGCAAACAAGGGCATATTCATAAAAATTTTCTTCCTGTTCCTTCAGCTACAGTTAACTGATAAAATGGGAGATAACACTAAATAGGGTAATCACCTCTACTGCATCTGTATCCCTTCCTCTCCTGCCCACCCCTCTGCTTCCCCCTCTCAGCTCTCTCTTCTGATCATTTCCTTCCTTTATCTGTTTCACAGAAACTTCTCCATGGGCAACTATTTCATTTTCTTTTATTCCTTTCATCTCTTTCCTTCACAGCCACCCTTCTTACCAGATTTTCAAAAGTTTTGAAGTTAAGATTACTCTCTCTCCCATGTTTTGACTGTACCTGCATGCTACTTCAACTTAAATATGGGAAAGGATAAAGAGTAGGACAAATGTGTGTTTATATGTGGAGAGGGGAAGAAAACTACATTCCTACTAGAAAATACCACTTAGTATCCTGACACAAATACATACTTTCAGGAGTGAACATTTCTAGTTCACATAATTCAAACAAACTTTAAAACAGCCACATTATAAGAGATGGCTATCAACTGTGAGCAGGGTTTTATTTCAGTCATGGGGTTTACAAAATATAGCAATATTGATTTTAATGTATTTCACATAAAAACAGAAAGCCTCATATTAATATACCACTCGGGTTGCACAGGTAATTAAAGAGAGGAAATACCAGTTAGAGCGCTCAGCCTGAACTTTTTCCTTACCCATACATACTAAAATAAGTCTAATTACATAATACTTCAATAGAACACATATTACATTCTGTAGAAATGAGCCTTTCCCAAAGTAGTATTAAAATACTGTAATGAAAGCTAATATAAAGATCTTTTCATAAAAATTTTTAGTCCTCTCTAGCACCTTCCCTTGGCCCCAGCCCTTGACAACAAACAGCTTTGGCCTCACAACACCCCTGTGAGGTAGGTTGTTGGGTTTTTTGGTACAGCTGGGGAAACTGAGGCAAAGTGAACCTAAATTACTTGAAGTTAACACAGCAGCTCAGTGGAAAAACAAGGCCAAACCCCACTCTGCTGGTCCTATGCTCTTGCTACAAAATGGGCTTGCTTCTCTTCGGTGCCCGCAGTTGTTTTAGATGATACTTTCCATTCCAGTGTTCCAGATGCACTGCTTTTTCTGGTGACTCATTAATAATACTGTGATACGGTTTTAATATTTGCGTTCTGGCTAAGCAGCCCATTGAACTTCATTAACCTTGCTATATCAACATATGATCTAAGCAACTGAACATAAACCCATGACATACGTACCATTAGAAGATGATTCACAAAGCAGGAAATGTCTTCATAGCCATTTGAATTAGTGTGTCAGCTTTTTATCATGCAGAAGTGAAAAGCTTTCTTAAGTATGAAACAAGTTATTTCCTAATAAGATTGCTGAACTATCATGGAATTTGTCCCTTCTCAGCTCTGTCTTTAGGCAACCGGTTAGACAGCTTTGTACCAAAGCAAAATTCTACCTTCTCTGGACAGGTTTTCCCGATTCTTTCCTTTAAAGGGATGCCTTCCCCAAATGCTGAACTTCAAACACTTAGTCAGGTGGATCTGCCACTTGTGAAAGCAGCACTGACCCACACAGCACGTCTCCTATCCAGCCACTCGCACTCCGCTCCCTACCTCAGGCTATACATTTAATACTACCATTTAGAAAACAGCCTTTCTAATCCCTCTCTTATACCCCCTGTGTTTTATTCCCATAATTTCCACTCTCCCTAATTAAAAAAAAAAAAACGCAAAACTTCCTTTCTGTTTTATTTCACTTCAAACAGAACTACATTTGGTGCTTCAGAAGCCAAACTCTAGATACAGGGTAGACAGACTTATGTGAATCAGGATTGGACTCCTCAGTTCTGTTTTCTGCTGTCATTTCTTCTTCTATCTGCTAGAGCTTGCAGGTTCTCATGTGAACCCTGATACAGACAAGCTGACTTTTTAACTTCTGAAGAATTTATCAGGAAATGTATGTCAGATTTCCTCCCCCTTTGTATGCACCTAATTTATATATCTGAAATTTAAATATGCATGTTCTTATTTTCTTGTATTCCCAAATAAAGCCCCTATTTACCATTAAAACCAATTTGTGAAATTAAAAGCTGAAAACAGAAGGGGACAATTTGGGAACTAAATTACAGTCAGGCAACAAAACCTGGATTGTGGCTATTCATACGTATTTTTAAGTACTTGAGGTGTTTTTGGTAAAATTTAGCTTCTTGGGCCTCTGATACAAATTGGTCATGTAAAATATGAGGTATTCATTTCTCTGACCATGTCAATATTAGAAAGAATAATATTACTACCTTGTAAATAAGCACCTTTTAAGCACATGAAGCCCTATTAGTCTAAAAAAAAAAATCATCTGCTCTGTTTTAGTTATGGTATTTGACAGAAAACCACAAGCAAGTTTAGAACCGCTCAACCAAGCTGAAATTAGAAAGACAAAAGAATAGGACTACTGCAAAAGCTCAGATAAGCAAACTCCAAGATGTGCAGCCCTATCAAATTTGTATGGTGTTTACTTGACCTAAACAGCACAGGTGCCTCAGCCATGTTGTGGTGATGAAAGAGTTTCCAAGAGCCACCAGATGCAGTCAGGCACTGTAAACCCTTGTCCCTGTGGAGTCAGGTCTCTAACACAATTTGTACCATTAAAAATTCATCTATTCCTAAATTTTGTAAGAGAGTTACTTTGGACATGACTGGTAAAGCTAGCTACAAAGACAAAACTGAAGTAGCAGGACACACGTCACTTCAAATTGTCAATTCCTCTTCATTTCTGAGCAAGATTAACCAGGGCAAAGCTGAACTGGGAGGGAGGGTGGGAGTGGGGTGTGAGCAAACCTAGTCCTCTCTTACATTTATTATCAGAGCTCAAGTAAATACAGATGCCAGATTCCTACAGTGGGCACTTGGGAAGTCCAACTTTATTAAAATATCTAAGTTTTGGCATTTTAACATTCCTTAAATGCAGACTGTATCACCAAGAACCACAAATCCAAGTTGTTCCTTCCCCAGTAAGTACTAGACATTTAAATGTTCTACTATATGGCTGTGTTTTTATTTTAAGCCAGAGATAGTAAAATGGAACCTTTAAATTCAAAATTAATAACTAACCACCATAAAAGCATATTACAGGCTAGGTTAGGAAGTTCCTGAAGCAGCACACAACTGCATTTCACTGACTGGTACCAAGAATCTTGTTTCTACAACTGACAATCCTTCATTTATGGAATGAGGCTTCAACAAGGATTTTGAAGGAATGAAGTGGACATTCTTAGCATGCCTGGAATGAATGCAATAACAAACCAGATGGAGTTGGACTTCAGAGTCTCAAAAGCATACTGAGCTTCCACAGAGGACTGACTTTGAAAATTTCAGGCATGCAGAACAATTAATTGTTACAAGGAAGATACTGACAACTGGCATTTTGATAGTTGCTGGCAGCAGTATTTAACACTAGAAACACTTTAAATTAGCTTAACATTCTGTACTATGGAAACTGCTGCATTTCTGATTTTTTTCCTTTATGCTGCCAGAAAGAACCTGGAATGATATGCTTAAGAAAAGCCCCCAAAATAACACCTCTAGTTATCAGTAGCTGATGGACTCCAGTGACAGTAACCATCCAGAGGGGCTTTTTTGTTTTTGGGGTTTTTTTTTTTTTTCATTCTTTAATTTAGCAGAGCTACTTCCAAGTGAAAAGCAAATCAAAGCTTCATTCATACTTAATTCACAATCTCAAACCAGTCCTAGATGGTGGGAGTAAGAAGACACTCTGACAGGTAGCAAACTAAACTTCTATGTACAAATAAAAGTCATACTCATATGCACTGCTGTAAGCTCTCAAACAGAGCCTACCTGACCATAAGGCTGACTACCCACTCCACAGCCTGTCCCTTAGGAGATCCAAATGCTCTATGTTTCCTTAGCTGTTGTACAGTCATAAGCTAGAACTAAAGGTAAAGATTAATTAGACTCCAGAATCCATGTATATTTCCATTTTATTCGATTTGAAACTGTTACAGGGTTTTCTTGAACTGCCAGAATTCATGCCCAAAACCTCAAATAAAGACGGTACAATGGACAGTCTCATCTACCCTTCATACAGTAGAGTAAAACTTGATTCATGTGCATTGGTGATCTCAATCACTTTAGAGCATCAGGAAAAGTGTTTTAAGACTTCATGTTTCTACCGCATCAAGTGACATGTCCATTTACCATGAATTCCACAGAAATCTTTAGTGACAAAGCAACAGTTTTGCTGGCAAAAAATGTTATTTTCAAGGAAGATACATGGCTCAGAGTCCAAGGTATTGGTATCAGTCTTTCAGTGGGGTTTTGTTTCCAAATGAAGTCTCCAATTTTAAGAATAGTCTCATGAGCCCTCTCTTTAATAGCAGCTTCTAGCAGAAGTTTTAGAGACAGTTAACTCTGCAAGGGCAAGGCCAGTTCTAGTCTGTGCACAAAAGAACCAGGTGAGACCCCAGCCCCACTGAAGTCAACAGCAAAATTCCCATTGGCCTCAGAGAAGTAGATTTAAAGCGAGTCAGCAGTTAGTCAAAGGGAACCCAACCAGGCAATTCCTGCACTACCCTCACCTTCTGCACATACACACTACTCCCACACACATAAGCAAGTTTTGTTTTGTTCCCTTGTTTTTCTTGCCATTGGCAACTCTTATAGATATTGGGTCTATTTTTTGGCATTTACTCTGAGAAACCTCAACACTGGAGCACACCACTATCATATTTCATTTTGCTTCTGGTGTAACAATTCAGAGAAGACAAAAACAGTTACAGCAGGACACTTTTGGTACTTGACAGGTTTTGTTCATCAAATCAGAGTTACAGGCAATGTCCTATATTCTTAGTGTATCAGTGCCATTTTGCCTACTGCCACTAAATTAAGTCAGAGATGACAACTTAAAGAAGTCACTGCCCTCCATTATCACTAAACTTCCTGACTTTGAATAAAGACCATTTATGTGTTTTAGTTAGAGAATTTCTGCCTCAAAAAGCCTGCATGCTTCACAGAAGTAGCCAAACAAATAAGGCTTTCCAGCTCTAGTTATCCCTCTGCATACTGTTATTTTAGTTATCAAGTAACCATTACTCTTCAACAAGCAAATAACTTTTTAATAGAGGAGAAATTTTTATCTAGTATCACTACTGCCACATATCTCTTTTTTAACAATTTCTGAAGACTGTAGTTGGAGTCTGGATTCCTCTGTGTCAAATCAAAACTTGTCAGTCTTAGTGCTTTAGGGTGAAAAAGACAAACCTCATGACGAAAACCAAAATAAACCCTATTTCACTACAACATCTCATCATTATTTAAATATACTGCAATTTGATACCAGAAACAAGGCAGGTGGTTTTTTTTGTGGAGAATAGAAAAAAAAAAAGCTTAAACAGACAACTGTGAAAATGGCTAACACAAACAGACCATTCAAACCCATCATTCCTCAAATCTGATACTGAATGAGTTTTAATTTGTTTTGCAGTTACTTCAGTACAGCTATCTAAAAAGGTAAACAAACTACAGCTCTGTTATACTTGGATAGTATGAGTGGTATGGTACGCTCCAGAAGTCTCTAGCAGGCTATGGCTACACGACAGGATTCCTCAGAAGGGGAACAGAACAGGTTTGTCATTAAGGTCACTTAAATCTTTGTTATAGCAAATTGGAACCAAATGGCTGACTTCTGCAGGATTTCTGACAGGAATCCAGTAGAGCTGGTTTCAAGTTTCAGGTGGCCACTAAAACAGCTGTAACCTTCTCTTCCAGAAGTTGTGATCCACATGGTGTCCACAATGAGTGCAGCAAGTCTGAGGTAGTCAACCTTTACGAAGGCTCAGTATCTGAACATAAAAAGATTTTGAAATGACCACTGGCTGCAGGTATCTTTCTGAGCAATTAAAGAACACTGATGACTCTTGTTCAATCATTTACATTAATTTGCCCCACATCCAATGGAGAGGTTGTAACATATTATGCTTCCATAGTGCAGGAGAACCAATCACTTACGCCAAAGTAGTCTGCACTTGCTGCAGTAGATCCAGCAGAAATAAGGTGGCATGTTCATCATAGCCGTTAGCTGTAGTTTAGTTACCTTAGTAGAAGGGTTACCAAAAAAGCATTCCTTAATTGTACTGTGTATGCAGCTCTACTGATCCCCAAGCACAGCATACTGGTTGTCTAGCTGAAGTTTAAGTGCCTGGTTTTTTGAGACCTCATCCCTACCTCTAGTTTTGTGTTTTACTACTTCAAAGCTCTTCTCCATTTCTTTATCCCTAAGGGAAAATAAATGTAATCAGTAAATATCTTATCACTAGCTTGTGAGTTGTGAATTTCTAGTCGATTTCCAACCCATCCCAACAAAAGCATTATGAACACAGAACACTAAGGTCCAGAGTTTTAACAGAACAACCAAACATTCCCAAAGCAAATCTTGTAAAAACCTTATCTCCAGAGTCAAGCTCATCATCCAGTACAATTCAGATTACATTCTAAATTTCAGTATTAGCATTCTTAAAAGTAAATTTAAGCACATTTATGAAAAACAGGTTTTAGAAAGCAGAAGTCCATTTCTAGAATGCTCACTCAGAGTTTCATCTTAGCTCAATTTGCACCATTCAAACCCTAAAGCATCAATGACAGCATATCTCATTTGCCAAGCAGACAAAGCCACACACACAAAAAAAAGAAACAAAGCTTCTGCTTGGCTGTATTAGTCAGTAACACAGCAATCAGAAAAAACAAACAATCAAAAAACCCCAAACCCCAAGTGAATTAGGTATTGGCCTAGCTATCTCTTCTGTAGGGAATGAGGTTATGGGGAGATCAGGACTCAAAAGCAGGATGAAACTCAAGTCTTCAGCACCCCAAAACACAAAACACTTCAGCAAAATTGGGGGGGCTCATTGTAAACCACAGCTCACACAGCAAGTTTATTGATTTATACTTGTATTAAACCCCGTTCCTCCATTGAAGTTACTGTCGCACCTTTAGTGAGAAGGCAGTGTGCTCAAGACATCCTACTCATGCCTCCTGACGGTAGTAACACAGAGCCTCACCATGGCTAGTATCTCAGGGAACCAGATGCTATCAAGCACAGAAATACTCTGCTTCAGGGAAATCCTTCAGCAAGTCAGCGATAAGGTAACTGGCAGTCTTGCTTGGCTATCTCACTGGGATATGAAAATTATTTCACGGGAAGCCCTTCCGAGAGTTGGAAAATACAGCTAAGACCTCTCTCATATCTCTTTGCCAAAAAGAATAATTTCTTAGTTATTTCCTTCCTCTGTGGAAAGATTCAGGCTTAAGCCCTAAAACAAAGTAAGAACTTGGAGAAGGCAGTTAAAATAGGGACTTAATGGAATGTACTTACTTTCGACTGTCTACAAGCTTGGCGGTGGACTGCAGTGATGGAAACTGCGTATCACTATAGATTTCTGGTGGTCCTTGCTGTGCTCTCCGTGGCCTGCCACCCTCCCTGGCACCAGGCGGCCTGTATACACCACCAGTCTGAACTGGTTCTGGGGTTTCTGTAACTAGTTATAAGAACAAAATTTAGACGAGAGAGTAAGTTTGCATTCATATCTGAAAAAAAAACCACAAATAAAAAAAGAATCTTACAAGTATGTTTTGCACCTTTTAAAGTGCTGGAAGCAAATCTTTTAGACAAGGCAGGAAATCAGGTGTTATGTAATTTAACATATACTTAGTAGTCAAATTAAAATGTGGCTCCAGTATACTGCCTTACAAAGTTCAGGAAATCAAAACCACTGATGAGGACTTCACGTCCCTTATTTACAATTTATTAGCAGCTTACATTTAAAACTAGAGATTTAAACACATAATTATATATTTGCCAAATCTTATTTAAAGCACCTCTCCAAATACAGAAGAGAATATCCAAATAGTTCGTATTTAAGGTAACAATCTACAATGAAATAACACTGATTAACTCTACCTCCTTGCCTATACAAACAAGAAAACACACAGCAGGCCGCTCTTCAATGAATTTCTCAATGGAAGAGAATAGTCTGAACTCAGATCACAGCTAAGTAGTTTATCTCCACTGACACTAATAAACTGTATTTAATCAAAACTGAAGTCCTATCCCAGTTCAAGAATCAATTTTGCAATGTCATGTTCTCTGTACCAGAGAACTGATCTGAAAAGCACACTACTAACCATGGAACCCTTCTCAAGAACTGCCATATCAGACATCAAATATTGGTTAAACATCCACTTAATTGTCAAAGCAATATTTTTAGATCAGCAGAAATGCTTCCAACAGGTATTTTGCAGGTTGCAAAGTAGAGGGATCTCCTTCAAAGATGGAATGCTCCCCCACCCCCTTTTGAAGTCAGAAATAAAAATCCCTCCGTTCATGTTTATTTAAAGAATCTGACAGTACTATCAATTCAGTTCCTCAGATGCCTTCACGGGAAAATTTCCTCATTTGCTAGTAGGCCAAACAAGCCATTAGTATGTTATAAGGTGCCTGAACAGGAACTGCTCCTTAAGCTCTACCCTCTGAGCAGCTTAATTCAACCTGATACACTTCTGATCGGAAAAAAACAACTCGAGTTAAATTTACCAATTGGTTCAACAACAGGTGCTGGTGCAGGAGCTGACTTGTTCCAAGGACCAGATGATCTGTCTACACCACCACCAGTCTCCTCCCAGTTGTCACCAGGTTCTTCTCTTTTTTCACTTTCATCATCTTCTTTTTCACTATAAAAGAGAAACAGTAAGCAGCATTTTACAAACAGAGGTTTAAGACTTGCCAGAGATTACACAATTGCCATAGCCAAGACTTCACGGCTGCTGTGCTGAAGATACTAGATTTAACCAGGCTACATTAGTCCTGTAACCACTGTATTAGTACTTCCACCTGAACAATTTTTGGCACACTGCTACACAACTTGGCAACTGAGGAAAAAAGTTCTTAAAAAAGACAAATTCAAACTGTACTAAGTGAAATAAATTGATTTCTTATTTTGAGCTTAAAGACTTTTCTCATACTAAGAGAGTCATGCATTTGGAAGTGATGAGAAGATAAAGCAGGAAAGCACTACAAGTCCAGCTTCCATAAACTGCTTTAGTCAAGAGGAAGAAACTGTGGAGAAGTAGTGACAGAAAGCAAGTCCTGAGCTCCCTTTCCCTATAACCACAACCACCTGAGAAACACTCCTATATTACCCATACAAATATCACCTACAAACCAACTCAGATTTTTCTTCTTTAAGGAGGCAATCAAAAAATACAGACAGAAAAATATGCCATTTTTAAAAGACAAATCCTATGCAAAAGCCTGACTGTATTTTATTTAGACTATTTGATTTTGCACAGAAATAGTCGGAGACTCAAAATAATTTGCTAGACAAAGCTATTACAGAAAGCAGTGTGGTATAATGGGACATACATGGAGAGTGAGGCTGTTGAAAAACCCAAGACACTGATCTGAACAGCAGCAGCAAAGTGTGAATACAGAAGTTTATAATACACCAAATTCTACTAATCATAATCAGATAAGCTTTCTGTATAAGTAATAATTAGAGAACAGTTAAAAATACCTATCATTTCTGAAAATTAAACAGCCTTTCACTGTTCATCCAAATACAGTAACAATCATAGTAAGCCGGACCAAGGGCCTAAATACATCACTATCCTATTTTAAACTACAGTCAGAAGCAGATGCCTACAGACTGGCTAGAACAGAGTAAGTATACATAACATCCCACCCCCACTCGATACTCTGTGTCTTATTTTCAGCAAAGAGATCTCCAGAGCTGGGTAACTTATAACCTCCAGTGGGTTTTTCTTCCATTTACTTCTCCACTCTCCCCTTGAATCCACTAACTGTGCGGTTACAAAATCCTGTGTCAGAAACTTCCACATGCCTGAAAATCTGCCACAGCATCAAAAGCATTCAGAATGCCAGCCTTTGTCTGGAAAACCAAAGTACTCGCTTTCCAATCAAACAGTACTAGCAGTCAGTGAAGCAGCAGCCCACTTGTTACTTGTCCATTCATACATGTGATGATCTGCTGCAACACTTCAATGGTACAGAGAGGCTGTGGACCAAATACATGTAAACGACCTAAAAGAACCAGTTAACTGAAGTTAACTAACTGGGGGTGGGGGGGGGTGGGGGGGGTGTTAAAAAAAAAAAAAAAAAATCAAAGAATGCGTAAGACCTGCTCAAACATTTAGCAGAAGAAAGCATCTACTGCACTGGTTACAGGTAAGATTATTTTAAGATGGCATTATTCTGAACATCATCAGTACCTGGACAACGAGGATTATGTGACAGTCTAAGACTAAGGTTCTGATGAAACGGTTTTCTTAACCAGGATAGACTTAAGTAGACTTACTTTGGACCAGACTACAGGAACAATTTAATGAAAAAGCAAACAAAGAATCTTGGATGAGACTTATAAACACAGTCCTGTGGGATCTCGTCATGGGATACTAATTTTAACAACTATATTTTGGGGTTTTTTTGAAATAAAAATGCAATGGTTCAGGAATTCACTCCCCAAACTGAGATGCTGAATAATGCTTAATAAACTGAGTCAGATACCCTTTCAGGGGTCAAATGATTCAGTGAGAGTTACTATGCTGCACTCCTCTCTGAGGAATTCCAACTTTACTATCTTTATGGAGGGTAATGTTAGGCATTTGTAATAAAAATCTGAGACCCAACCAAAACAGACAGACCTAGAATATTAACAGAGGTTTAGAAAATAAAGAGAACATCGGCAGCAACACATCAAACCTCTGTTTAACTGGACTCCATGAAGGCATTCTGAAGAAAGAACGTAGTTTTTAAACATAGGTAATGGTTATACTGGAGAGAAAAAGAAAAATAGTAGTACCTTATTTGCATGGACTGAACTCTAAGACCACTATAATCAATTTCTTCCTTTTGCTCAAACTCCTTCCAATCATCCTCTTCCTGTAAGAGAAGAAAAATATAAGCTGTTACTGTCTTTACACTGAAGACAGAAAAGAAGAATGTAACTAAGATAATACAAAGAAAACTAAGAGTGAAGGTACAGTTCCATAGGAAACTGATCCATGTGCACCAATGCCAAGAGGGGAAAGGATTCCGCTCCCTCCTCCCCTAACTTACTGTATGTCATCTAGGATGCACTTGTGAGCTGACTTTAACTCACTAGAACAGCTAAGAAATGCCCAGGCAAAAAAGTCATTCAAGTGAAAGAAAACCGCATCATCACAGTAAAAATCCAGCGGGAAGCCAAGGGACAACACAAAGTAGGGAACAAGACCATGCAATCAAGACCAGGCATATACAAGGGCAAGACCTCTCCCTTTTCCTAACAGTAAGCTTTTATGACAGCTTGAATGCACATGAAGCTTTAGATTTGCTTTTTCATCACCTATATCAAGAGCCAAACAGTAAAGAACATTTGGAATAGCTTAGAGCATTTATGACAAAGATTAATATTGGTACATTTGACTCTTCCACATTCACAACCACATTTACAGCCTTTCTCATTTTCTTAATAATGTTTTTGTAATAGTGAAAAGGTCAGCTTCAAAACCACAGCAATCTTAGTACACAAAAATAGCAGAATACTAGTCTTTGGAGAGCATTGCTTTAAGGTTTTAAGAGGGGAGTTTGATCACGTGTTTGGGGAAAGAGGGACCCACCTAAGTGGAGCTGTCCTACGGTGTAATCAGCAGATTCTGGGCTTATTAAGGTAGGCCAGAAATGGAGCAGAACAGAGAAGCAGTCCTCCCATGTTCCTACTCGCAGCTTTAAGACACACACAGTCTAATTAGTAGTTTACATAATTCCTACACCCTACGTGAAATGCAGTTAAATTGCTTTAAATACAAAGACCATGCAAGCAAGCTCTGCCGACGGTATAGCCCCCTTTCTGCTGAACAGCTGGGAACACAGCTTCTTGTAGGAGCCCTGTCCTAGGATCTTCTACGTTATCAACCTCTAGCAGGAAGTTTTTGACCTGCTTTAAAGCAACGGCAAAAGTAGAAAGTGACCTCATGTTACTGCACCATATGCTGAAGATTCAGTCTTTTGGAAGAGCGTGAGTCTACAGCTCTAAAATGTTTTGAGATTTCTTATATTCCCATCTCCATGGAAACATCACAGTTTCCAAACTAATGTACCTTTCACATTTAACAATCTTTATTTCTAATCCAAGCGCAAGCTTCTGTCAAAATCAGACGCAACTGAGCAGAAGAGCAGCTGAAAGGTTACTACTGACCTTGGACTACTTAGAAAGCTACTGCAGGTGTCAAGCTCCCCAAGTTAAACGCCATCAGGAAACAGCAGAGCATTTCTTAAAATTCGTTTTAAAAATCTACAGCTCACGGCCAGCTGTAAGGCACCAACTCAACTATGAGCACTTAAGCTTCTCTCGCACTCTCATCGTTTCACTGTAATACGGTACAAGAAAACTGCTGGCAGTAAAACCCCTTCCTGGCAGGAAGGCAAAGAGCTCGGCGTGCTTCGCCTGCAGAGCCAGGGGACCTCACCGCCAAGGTCCGCAGGCCACACGCCACAAACCCAGGTGGCCGACGGAGGCCACCTCCCCGCCTCCGGCCGCTGCCCTGCGCCAACACCCGCAAACCAGGGAGAGCTGGGCAGAACCGAAGCCGCAGACCGGGAACCGGCACCGCTCTCGCCGACCCCCCACCCCGCGCCCTCCACGCGGGTTCGAGCCGCCTTCCGAGCAGAGGCCGGGGCGGGGCGGGGCGGGTGCGAAGTCCGCCCGGCCCGGAGCCC